AAAAAAAAAAAAAAAAAAGGGAACCTCTTTTTCATGTGCCATATCATACATTTAAAGAAAAAAATATTTTTTTTCTCTCTGTATTGGTCATGAAAGAACGCCAGGTAGATGAGAATAAATTCAGCCCATACAGAGACGGTGGAAATGTTCTGATCAATTTGTGTTAATACAGACTCTGAGAACTTGCCTTCAGAGATGACAGATGAGAAGTTTTAATTCCTGTGCCAATTTGTTATTTAGCTGACAGCCTTAGCAAAGGTACTTGAGTAATAATAATAGCATACGGGAGCTACAATAATGAGTCAGGAAACCACCCTGCTAAGTCGTTTATGCCCCCAGAACAAGAAGTTGGTCTCTGCCAAAAGAACTAAAGATCTAAAAGTACAGGTAATACAGAAGCCAATTAGGGAGGAGTTGCCTTCTCCATTTACTGCTTGCAAACAGGTTGAGAATGTGAAGGTGGAAGGGAATTTAAATTAGGCAATAAAAGTGATAAGAGTTCAAAACCTGATGAAGAATGTTTTGCACCTGAAAGCTTGTCTAATTCTATCCCATGCCACATGTGGATGACAGGAGGGCAGATCTGAGATGTCATCCAGCCTCAGATCTTATCAAGCCTTATTGCTGGTACAGGGGAAGCCAGAGATCATCTTCCCCAGCTCCTCTTGCACCTGCAAGTAGCAAGCTCCTGCATTTGTGAGTTCTGTAGCTGACTGGATTTGCAGCCATGGCAGTACCCCATGGCTGACAGGATGGAGAGTCCGGCAGCTGTGGGACTTGTGACCCCAGCAGTGCCACATGGCTACAGGGGTGAAAGTCATCTCAGCTGTGGGAATTCCAGCTCCAGCTGCACATGCTGCACCCCTGTGGCTGGGATCCCTGTCAGCTACACATGCAAATTAAAGCTGGATAGAAACCAGCTGTAAAGTTGTTGCATATCTTGTTCCACTTTATAGCTGGGTGAACTTTTTAATGCCATAATAGTTACTTTGCACATGTAGCTGGTCTAAATTAATTGCAGAGAGCCAGTTAATTGCAGAACATATGAGCCCAAGAGAGCTGGTTGTACCTTGAGGCCATGTTAGTATGCTGTGCACTTCTATCTCAGTGCAAAGAAAGAATAGGAAGTATAACACAGATGGAAAAACATGTACTTGTTTACACATTTGAGGTTGGTTTATGAAACTGAAAGTCTTGTCCTTAAGCAGTGAAACCAACCTGTGTGCAGATATTAAGGGGAGGACACAGCAGTTTTGCCAAATCTCAAATGATATGAGGGGAATTCTACTGATTTGTTCCAATCCAATATCATTTCAGATGGGAGAAAGCTGGACAAGTGAGCAGAGAGGTCTGGGAAAAAGCTGGAAAACAGGGACTGTTGGGTATCAGTATATCGGAAGAACATGGTGGCCTTGGAGGCAACATACTATCTTCAGCTGTGGTCTGGGAAGAGCAGTAAGTATGAGGCACTTTAACAGGAAACTTGGTAATAATATGTAGAGATTTTATTTTTTCCATACAGTTCTTTTAGTCCTGTTGTAGAAAGTATGTCCCCCAAGGTGATAATAGTTTCCTCTGTTAGAAGGGGATGCATTAGACATAAGTAAATTCTTCCTAGTTTAAATATTTCAAGCAGGGTAGATTTGTTTTAAATCAAATTAATTTAAATCAGGATTTAAATTACTGGTCAGGGTGCCTCAATTTAATCACTGTTTTATACAAAAAGTTCATTCTTCTTGTTTGATGTCCTCTAGTCATTTAACGTTTTGAAACTTTGCACTTTTAGTTAGAGGTAAGGGCTTGATTCTGTGTACACAAACTTGTAGAGAGACAAGAGGGCTGATGGGTAGGTAATCAGGTCTGCTGTCTCTCATCTTCATATACTGCTGTTTCATAGTTTCATAGTAGTCAGGTGTCAGAAGGGACCTAAATAGATCATCTAGTCTAACCCCCTGCCACTGGCCGGAGCACACGCTGGAATCACATGACCCCATACAGGTTTTCATCCAACCTCTTTATGAACTTACCCAAGGTAGGAGTGAGGACCACCACCCTAACAGTGAAATAGTGCCTCCTAATCTCTAACCTGAACCTATTCTCCAGCAGCTTCTGGCCATTGTTCCTCATCACCCCAGGTGCTGCTGTGGGGAATAGGACCCTTCCTATTTGCTGCTGATCTCCCCTAACGAGTTTGTAGGCAGCCACCAAATTCCGCCTCAGCGTCCGTTTGCTGAGACTGAACAGGTTCAGGTCCCTCAGCCTCTTCATAGGGCCTGCCCTGTTGCCTTCCAGCCAAGCGGGTGGTCCTCCTCTGAACCCTCTCAAGGCACGCCACATCCTTCTTAAAGTGTGGTGCCCAGAACTGGACGCAGTACTCCAATTGAGGCCAGACTAATGTCGCGTAGAGGGGGACTATCACCTCTGTGGGCCGGCTTGAGATGTATCTTTGGATGCACGACAAGGTGCGGTTGGCTTTGCTGGCTGTGGTCTGGCATTGGCAGCTCATGTTCATCTTGGAGTCAATAATGACTCCAAGATCCCTTTCCACATCTGTGCTCTCAAGTGGGGAGCTCCCCAGCTTGTATGTGTGCTGTGGATTCCTTCTCCCCAGGAGCAGCACCCTGCATCTATCTACAGTGAAGCCCATCCTGTTACCATCCACCCACTTCTGTAGTCTGTCCAAATCTAATTGCAGCCTCTCTCTCCCTTCGAGTATGCCTACCTCTCCCCACATCTTGGTGTCATCGGCAAACTTGGACAACGTGTTTTCCACCCCCTCGTTCAAGTCGCTGATGAAGATGTTGAACAGTGTAGGCCCCAGGATTGAGCCAGTTAACAGGGATACTATCTCTGGAGACACAAATCCATAGTTTGAGAACTGAAAGCATCACAGAGATGCTTAATGGGATCATCTCAACTGAGCACTGAGTCCCACTGGGTAGAGCGTTTTTCTTTAATCTTTACTAATCTTTAGAGGAGCCTCTGGGACCCAATACAATTGGGCCCCTAATATAGTCCATGGCCTGTTGTAACCTATTTATAAAACTTCTCTAAAAAGGTTACATGAATATATTGTCTCAAATAGTAGAAGTTATAATCCCTATTCCATAATGACATCCTTGAGCTTTAACGTATCTTAAATTAAAACTATATATAAGCTTATTTTTTAAAGCATCTTAATAAAAAAATCTGATTCTTTTTATTTAAATCTGATTTTTTTGATTTTAAAAAATTGTTGATTTTTATCCACCCTGATTTCAAGTAACTTTTTAAATAAGAAACATCATTGTATGCTATTTTTAGGACTTTTTGTATAGGAAAAATGCTTTCCTCTGCTAGGTGATGCAGTGTTTTGGCAGCAAAAGTACTTTCTGAAGTTAAAATTGTATTGTTTTGATGCTTTTCTTGTCCTTCCCCTGTCCTTCCCAGTGATGGTTCTGTGTTTTAGTAATATAACATTTCAGCATCTTTCATTGCAAAAAGTTTATTTAAATTCCAAATGTTCTTTCCCAGGATGTATGTTAATTGTACAGGCCCAGGATTTGGCCTTCATTCTGACATAGCCATGCCCTATATCGCAAACTATGGTTCCGAAGAACAGATTAAACGGTTTATCCCTGAAATGACTGCAGGGAAATGCATCAGTGCTATAGCCATGACAGAACCTGGGGCTGGCAGGTAAGGCAAAAATGAAGACTAACTGTCCTTATGATCATGCTGTGTACGTAATTTTATTATGTAAATATTTCTGAGTTTTTTTGATTGTATGGTTATTTAACTGATTGGACAATACCCCCAAATAGGTAGGACTACAATAATAACCTTCAAGCTGTTTTACAGCTTTGTCAGATCAGGATGCTTGTTCTGAACGCATCACCTTGTCCTCTGCCTTTGTATTAGCTTTAGATTATATAGTTATAGTTACTAAGTTGTCTGTGAACAGACAATTTAAAATATGTAAAATGTAATCAGTAGAGGTGCACCGATATATCGGTGCATATTGGATCGGCAGCAATAAAAGGAAAATTAAAATTATTGACCACTGGCGTTTTTTTGACCGGTGGAGCTGATAATGTCACCCAATAAATGCTGCATCCACGTGTTCAGCTGCAGCATGCAGGTGGCCAAGAATGCAGCCCAGCAGCTTGAAGAGCAGCGTCCTGCCAGTAAGTCTGTGCAGGGTGGGAAGGGTAGATTGAGGTCCCCACGTTAAGGAGTGGGGCAGGGGCAGGCGGTGAGTGCAGCCCCAGGGCTGGGAGAAGGACACAGTCATGGGCAGCTCGTCCAGGGGGCATGGGGAGGGGATGGAGATGGGGGGCAGGGGGGGAGCAGCTCCCTGTTGCTGCATGCAGTCCCAGGGGAGGCATGGGGGGCATGTGTCCCTCTGGATTTGTGCGTGGGGTGAGGGCAGGCTGCCTGCTGTGGGCTCAGGGCTAGGAGCTGTGCCTGCCTCTTCCTGGTGCGAGGCTGAGCTGGGGCTGTACTTGGGGCAGGCTCAGCTTCTTGGGGTGATCGGTGGTGGTGGTGCTGGAAGGGGTGGTTATGGGGAATTTTGGGGTGACTAGCCCCCCAAGTTTCCCCCAGTGTCGCCCCTGCTTGGGGCACTCCACTCTGCTACTTTTCTCTTGGGAGCCCTACCCCAAGCAGGGGCAATGCTAGTGGGGTGATTGAGGGGCTATAGCCACCCCAAAATTCCCCATAGGCCACCCCTCCCAGCACTGCCATTGCCTACCCCAGCCCTGCCACTGGGAAAAGGCTGGTGAAGCCCCTGGCTCTGAGCCCACAGCAGGTAGCTTGCCCTCGCCCAATACCAGGGGGCACACGGGCCCTCCATGCCTCCCCCAGGGGTGTGTGCATCGGTGGGGAGCCAGCCCCGCTCTCCACCCTCCCCCCCCATACCTCCTGGATAAGCCGCCTGCAGCCCTGTTCGATTCTCAGCCCTGGGATAGCATTCACTGTCCCGGCTAAGCAGCCCCTGCCCCTGCCCAATCCCTTCCTCACCATGGGGGCGTCAATCTGTCCTCCACCAGACTTAATGGCAGGATGCTGCTCTATAAGCTGCCTGGATGCATTCTTGTAAATTGGCTATCAGATTGGTATCGGCCAATATGGTTGGTTAATCATTGGCTATCTGCATTGGCCAAGAAAATTTTTATTGGTGCACCCTTAGTAATCAGGAGAGAAATAACATGCCTGGATAGAAGAGGCTTAACTTTTTCATAATAGGTTTATTTCTGAATCTATTAATACTTCTTGTTTCTCCTTCCATTAATCTTTAGAGAGAGAGGTTATCCCTGTTGCATCACTTGAGTGCAAACAATACTGAGATTGCTGAACCAGGGTCCTGTGCTTCAGTTCAGGAAGCCAAGTGGAGGTAGCATGGTGGGGAGCTCTGTCTTCATTACAGAGCTTTCATTGGTCCCACAAATAGTAAATGTTTCTACAGAAGAACTGCCTGGGTAGAGCAGCATTAGTGTGGAGTGTGTAGTCCTGAGAGATGATGTTTTTGGGGTATGTCTACATAAGCTAGCATTCGCCCAGTATGTGTTTCTGCATGTTTTACTCCCCTTGCTGTAAGCAGGTGTGTTAAAATGAAGTGGGATTGTGTGCTGTGGTGAAGATGCACAGATTCACATAGCATGCTCTTAGTTCCTATATTTATTCTCTAGGACCTTTTAATACATTCCAGCATTTTACTTTTTCTTTTTGCCTATTATTGTGCAAGATGGTTGATTAGTTGTGCAAAGCATTCTAGACTTCATGCTGAGTTTTATACTATTATTTTCTTTTATGTGACTGCTGGGTGGATTTGATACATAACTTGCTTTTTTTAAATCAATTATAGTGACTTGCAGGGTGTACGGACATATGCAAAAAAGGATGGAAGTGACTGGATTCTCAATGGAAGTAAGGTATGTGAATGGAGTTGGTGAATGCAGGTCAAGGAGCTAGGAAATTGAGTTTGAGTCAGTGAGGGATTTGGTGCAGTTGCACTATTGGTACCCAGTTGTAAGTATTCTCATCTCTTTGTTTTTAATTTTCAGTCAGTTACATTTTAAAGAAGAATTTTTTTCCCATTATGCTGCTTAATCATCTGAGCAAGCTCTAAAGAGAAAAGCTTTCATTGGCGAACAAAAAAAGTGGCTTGTATTTAAAGATTTGGCTCCTTTCTTGCATTGGCGTAATTAGTTTGCATGCTATCACTAAAGCTCAAACTGTTCTTTCAGTTCCATGAAGTTGGTAGCAGTGTCCTCCATACTATGAAATTCCTTGTAGCTTGAGGGAAACAAAAACTTCTTGATGCTTCAACATAAATAATGGAGGCTTTTTCCATTGGGTTTACTGTTCCAGGTATGAAGTAAATGCCTTATCAAATGCTACCCATACGTTGTCGAAACAATCATAAGGCTGGCAGTATGAACCCATTTCTTTTGCTCACTAAGCCCCTGAAATAATACTACTTGGGGGACCCTGTGAAACTTCTTGTAAAACATTTGACAGCGATTTAGGAAAATTTTGTTTCTTTACACAGGTATGAAGCATGGTTTCATCCTTAAAAGATCAGGAAACTTGAGTTCTGTTCCTGTCTCCTCCACTAACTTTTTGATTTTGGACAGATTATGCTACCATTCTAGGCCCATGTTTCCCAGTCAGTAAAAAGTTGGTGATAATTCTTTGTACCTGTGGTTGGTAAAGTGAACAAGATGAAAGCACAAAGTCGTTGTAGTAGTATTTTTGCTTGGTTTCATTTGGAAGATTCTTCCTGTTGTGAGATCTATGCTGCTTAACTTTTTAGCCATATTTATGCCTAAATCTAATTGTGTTTTCAGAGCTTAGTAAAGTGAGGCCTTGATTCTGATGGAGGCCTTTGGGCAGTGCCACAGTCATGTAATAAAAACATAATCGTATGTAGATTAACATGCTATTTAGACAGATGCTTGTTATGCTGCATATCTGATTCTAGATAAGACAGAACAATTTAAATTGGCTGGGTAGGATTCTTACTCTTTATTCTGGTCTCTTTTCATCTATTTTTATCTATCATGTGGGATCAGAGCTCTGACTTGGAACATGTAGCACAGAGAAAGAAACTGTAAGTTTCCCACTACTCTCTTACATGCATGTGCAGTTTTAAATACAGACCAAGTATTATGCAGAATTAATTATTGTAAAAGTGGGGAACATCCCCACTTTTTTCCATTTTATGCCTCGCCAACTTCTCTTTTGGAAGAGGTGATTTTGCATAATATTTTAATATTCTTGTTCATAGAGGGAATCTTTGTAGTAGAGATTAATCCGAGTTAAAGACTTGCATCTGAATGCCTCTGAACTTCAGATATGTTCAGAATATATAATAAGTTAAAACCAAGTTTTGAATTTGTTCCCTGTGTGAAATGAGTTACATGAAAACCCCTGTTCCAAGCATTCTTTAACTTTTGAGCTATTTGGACTCCAGACAGATCCAAGTTGTACTACTTGAAGCCAACTCTGTTTTATAGATTCTCTTCTGAAATACTTAATTTTTCTGGTTTCTGAGGTCTTAAGACTGTTTTGACACTTATAGCTTGCTTCCTAATGGCATTCAATTGTAGAAGTGTGTATGCCAGGTCTGCTGCTGCTTATAATATTCTCTTATGACTGACTGCCTGCCTGCCAGCTGGCCACTTTATTTCATCTTGGTTTTCTTACAGGTTTTCATCACTAATGGCTGGTTGAGTGATTTAGTGATTGTGGTTGCAGTTACAAACCGTGAGGCCCGCTCTGCTGCTCATGGGATCAGCCTTTTTCTTGTGGAAGATGGAATGAAAGGATTCATCAAAGGAAGCAAACTGGAAAAAATAGGCCTGAAAGCACAGGTGTGTTATGTGAGCCTGATCAGGTGATGGACATAGAGACAGTTTAAAAGCTCTGATTACCTGTGATACTTTCAAATAGATCAAATGGAACTCTACTAATACTTCAGTTCCTAGTTCTAACTGTGACAACAGGATATGCTCAATTAGACTGCATTGCTGGGGTTATACAGTGTACTTTAGTAAAGCAGCCTCCAGTGAATGTAAGTAAATACCAGTCTGGCTATAGTAGATAAGAATTAGGTAATAATAAGTAAGTACGAGGAAGAGGAGATGCAAAGACGAGGCGAACCTGATTATTAAGCTGTTTTGTTTTATTTAATGTAATTTTTAGGACACAGCAGAACTGTTTTTTGAAGATGTACGTTTGCCAGCTAGTGCCTTGCTTGGAGAAGAGAACAAGGGCTTCTACTATCTGATGGCAGAGCTCCCTCAGGTAAGAGTGATTGTCAAAAACTTGTCCATAGGGGTACTCTCAGATCCCCAGGTTTCTCCGTGTTGTCCCGATGCTTGTTCCAAGGAACTGACCAAGGTTTTCCCTGGGAAAACTTATCCCCTTCTAGCTTCAGCAATACTGCCAGCAATTGATCCTGTCCAGCCTGCCAGCCACCACTGAGACCCTGAGGAAGGGCTGCTCCACTCCACCCCGCTGCAGCTGGGGTCAGACCACACAGCACACAGACTCCTCTGCACTTCTCCCCTCCCGTCAAATCCATCCCTGCCCGGCTTCCTGTTGGCACTGCGCAATCCTGGCACCACAGCCACCAGCAGCCAGGCCCATGTGGGACAGGGCACAATGCGCCACACCAAGTAGCCATCCTGCTCACTGTGATGAGCGTGGCACCACTAGGAGGTGAGTCCATGCCAGCCACAGGGGAGACTCAAACCAGGGCAGCCACCTCTGACTTCCCTGGTATGGTGCAGTGGCTAATTGTACTGGGCAGGAGGGATGGCTACTTGGCAAGCTGCATTGCACCCTGTCCCTTGCAGGTCTGGATGCCAGTGGCAGCACTGCCAGGACTGCATAGTATCAGTAGCAGGGATGGGCAATTATTTTGGGTGGAGGGCCGCTTACTGAGTTTTGGCAAGCTGTTGAGGGTAGCCCTGCCCCTTGACAGGTGCCTCACCCCTTGACAGATGCCCCTCCCCCTAGTTGCCATCTTGTGACCGGAGGTCTACTCCCCTGCCATCCCCTCCCCCCCTGAACTTTGCCACCAGAACTCCCACCCTTTGCCCCCGGAAGTACTTCTTTCAGCAAGGGCTTTTGCCATCTCAGAACCAAAAACATACCAAATTATATTCTAAAAATTGAACATCTACAACATTCATTAATTTGATTTCAAAAACATTTTTGTCCTGGTTTACATGTGTTTGTGTAGTGTACACAGAGATCACTGCACACTAGCTTAAAATGAAGTCTTACTCTTGTATAGTGTTGGGGGTGGGTATAGATTTGTGGGGGGCTGTGGGTGTGTGGGTATGTGGGGTGAGGGAGCATGTGGGTGTGTGTATGGATATGTGGGGTGTGCATGGGTATGGGTGGAAGGAGGCTGGGGTTTATTTATGGCAGTGTGAGGGGAGGTGTGGGTGCATGTGTATAGTGGGGTGTGCATGTGGGACTTACCCTGTGAACACACGCACATACACGTGCGCATGCACACTCTGCCCCTGTGCCTGCAGACGTGCATGCACACACATACACACTCACCACCCCACCCCGCACAGTCCTGTGCTCTCAGTCTGGTGAGGCAGTCAGGAGCCACAGCCACCTGGTGCTGAAACAGGGCTGGGGCAGGAAACAGGGAACTGGCTGGGGGTGGGCAGGGCTGGACTGCTCAACCCTGCAAGCCTGCTGAGGGTTCCCTCTGAATCCTACTGCACCTGACTCCTGTCGGCTTTGATTTATTAGTAAATTAATTTACTAATTTTTTTAGGGGCTCTGTGCGCCGGATAGAATAGCCTGGTGGGCTGGATCAGCCCGCCCCTGATCAACAGGAAGCCAGGGGGAGGAGTCTGCGCATTGCATGGCTGAGTCAGGCCCCGGCTATGGCAAAATGGAGGAGCACTAGGCATAGTCCTCCTTCAGGCTCCTGGCAGAGGCTGGCAGACCAGATGGTATCAGTTGGCATCTCCTTGCCCCTTTCCCCACCTCTCCAGCCCTCAACAGCTCACCAGAACTCTTTATATGACCCTCCAGCGCACACAATTGTCCACCCCTGTTCAAGAGAGTCCTGCCAAAATTTCCAGACTTTAGCTTTCCTACTGAGCCTGACAGCCCCTGACTGCTGGGGACCTAGACGCATCATGAGGCCTGGGATGGTACAAAGACCACCAGTAATTCACAAAAAGCTTCTAAATACTTCCAAGCCAGCCCTGTTCACTTTTTTAAAGTCTTGGGATTTTCTAGAAAGCCTGTCCATCTTGGGATTCCTGGAGTTTCCTTGGCTAATTACCCATTTCCTTGATATATCTTTATTATTATGAGGCTGATTTTGCCCAATGGAGGCAGACAGTACCTTGGGTGCCTGTCCCAACAACAGTCCTTTCTGCCTGTGTTTGCAGTGACAACTGTTCTTGCCCTAGTACTGGGTGGGCCAGTGATCTCTTACTAGTTTTGCCTTCCTTCTGTTCCTTTGACACAGAAATGCCTCTTAACTTAAAGGCCTGTCTGCAACTTTTGATTAAACTATGACCCCAAATAGTAAAAATATATGTTTCTCGCACACACACACACACACACACACACACACA